GCCAGGTTCTTGTACGTGGAGTACTTCAGCATCAGCCCAGGCTGTCGCAGGCCCTCCTGCTCATCACCTGTCGGGACCGCCTGCGGACACAGCAGGGGAAGGGGTTAGTGGGGCCTCCAAGGGGGCCAGCAGGGGACCCTCTGCTGGAAAGCGACGCTGCTGCCCTGGGAGCTCCAGGAGAATCCCCTCCAGCACCACATGCTGGCTCCCCCACCACCTCGATTCTATCCACAATGTGCTTAAAGCTGGCCCTCCCGGAGTCCCCAACAAGACTCAGTGTCCCCCGCGGGTCCGCCTGCTCAGGCAGCAGTGAAGGAGTCTCAGCTTCCCCATCTGTACGTGGAGGATCCCATGCCCACCCCGAACTGAGGGGGAGAAGCAATGACACGATGACGCTGACCCTAGGGGAAGGGGGCAGGCCGAGGGCAGCCATAGACCAGGGTGTGGAGCTCACCTCCCGCAGCAGGCGGGCCTCAAGCAGTGTGTGGTAGGCCTTGGCTGACTCCTCGAACCGGTCATGTTTCTGCAGATCCAGGGCCCTGTGGTACAGGGCAAATGCCTCCGCTTCCTGCGACCAAGGTGAGACACAGACTCACACAGCGCTTGAGTCAATACCAACTCACAGTAGCACTACAGGACAAGATAGAACTGCCCTGCGGGGTCTGAGACTCTCCTCCTGCAACTGGAAAGCCTCATCTTTTTCCCATAGTCCCTACAAGGTACGCAAAATAGGCCAATCACCTGCAGCCCAGGCCCAGACAAAAACGATCAAACTAAAAGCTGTTTATAGCTCAGTGTCGGTCAACTGGGACAAAAGTGGCACACTCCCTGGGTCAAAGTCTTTGTCCCTTAGTGGGGGAATCTTCCCCCTTTAAGACGCATCAAGGCAAAAGGCCTCCGAAAGGAATACATTTCAACACCACCGGGGTCTCTTGAACAGAACGATCCATTTCTGAACAAACCAACAAGACCCACAGCCAAGGAGAGACCCATAGCCATGGCTACGACGAAGGCAGGGGCTTCTGTGGACGACTGGCAAGGGTCCGGAAAAGGTGGTTCCGGGAGGTGGCACAACTGCAGACGGTCGCCAGTGTTCTTCAGTGTGCCTGTGTCTGTGCTCTGCCCCAGAGAATAAGGAGGACACGCAGGTGAATGCGAGCCTGGGAACTACACACCTGAGCTTCCTTGGTCTGGGTCTTGTGACTTTTAAAGCTTCCTTCATGATCGTCCTCGACTGTGGAGCTGGCATTTAAGGCGGCGATTCGAATCTGGAGAGAGGCAGGTGGGGGAGAGGAGGAGACACAGCTGTTAGCCGAGACAGCATTATCTCATCAGCAAGCTGCACCCCGTGGAGGAGGGAGTGGGCTTCAACACTCTGCCCCCTCACACTGGCCTCAAAATGCGGCGGCCTCCTCAAATGCTGGGAGGTAAACAAGCAACCACGCAGGGAGGAAATAAGGAGTTGGGCAATGCAGCCTGGGTACAGTCCACAGCCCGGGCACATTCTGCGTCAGCCCAGCACAGCACAAGAGTAGGCATCTGAGCAACCGAGGCCAACAAACCATGCTAACTTTGACTCCTCACTGCCTGTGGTGAGGCCCTACAAGCCACCCCCATGGTCTGGCATGCAGCCCGCCCTCAGATGTACCCACAGTCCTCTCAGCAGAAGGCTGTCCACAGTGAGGGCCTTCAGAGTCCATCCCGGAGTGTCCCTTGCCCCGGGGGGAATATCACCCATAGCAGCCAGGCCTCCTCCCTTACCATGTTCGGAGACTCAGCACCGGCGCATGTCACTTCCTGTCACTGGTGGAGGTGGCACCAGCCATGACTCTCCTAGAAGGAAGCAGGGTGGGCTGAGAGATCCCCCTACGAGCCGGGCAAGTCACACTGCCAGGAGCCTTGTAGGCTCCACACAGACACCACCTGGATGGCTAGTCTACCAGACAGGACCCCTCTGCCTGAGGTCGGCCCTGCCAGGTGCTGCCCCAGGCGCCCTTAAGACACAAAGAAGCATACCAGGGGTTTAGGGCTTAGCAGAGGCAAGAGACCTGTGGGCACAACCCA